CTACAACACACATCATCGCCTTTAGCAATTAAATCTACACAAACTTGTATATGAACAAAAGCTGAGTATCATCTACCATGTATTCAATCGTGAAAGCAGAATAACATCTTCATTACTTCCAAGAAAATTAAATTTCGGTATTAAATGACCCATCAGTCAGTTATGTGCCATGCGTAATATACGCGTAGGCGATCATGTATCTTTCGATACAGTACTAACGAGGCAGATTTTTTCCCGCAGTAGGTTGCCATTTCTTTCTGCGGTAGACCAGTTGCCATCCAAAGCTATAGAATATATATACAGGGTTTGGCAGCAAAACCCGACACTTGACAAAAAGAAAACGACATAGGCAATAAAAACAAAAGTTGTATATGCAGAGACCCGACAGTATATTTAGCAACAGTTAGAGTTACATACTACATTATTTTTCAATGTAACCGCCAGGCGGGCGCGAAATGAGTCACAAGCTATGGCGACCATGTCCTTGTCCATAGCGGCGAATGCCTCCACGATGGCAGCCTTGAGAGAGTCGACCGTGTTGTGGGCGTGCTTGTTGGTCTTGGCCTCGATCACGCCCTAGAAGAAATAGTCAAGAGGGTTGCAGTCAGGTGAGGAGGGCGGCCACAACTCTGGCGACCAGTGGTGAAGAACATTGTTGAGCAGCTGGATCGTCTTGGCCTTGTGTACAGGAGCGGAGTCCTGCTGGAAGACGTAGGGGCGTCCGGTGGCGATCTTGTCCATCGAGGGCTTCACCACGCTCCTCAGCACCTCCTGTTAGATCTCAGCGGTGACTCTCAGGCCCCTTTGAAAAATGAATAGAGGCATGACGTCCCCTCTCGCTGCACACAAGGCCAAGACGACCCAAGCGTGGCTGCTGAACAATGTTCCTCACCACTGGTCGCCGTGCACGTAATTGAATGTATTAGATTCGACTGGAATTCAAACTCGGCTCTCTGATTCCTCAATCCACGTCGCTATCCACTACTCCACCGTGTCTCCTCTAAGGGCTTTCTAGTTTTAGGTGGCAACGAGCCTTCAGGAAAGGGGACACGGAATTGTAAAAAAGTGGAGAAGGCAATCTTCTCCCTCTCCCTGTTATAGGTTAAATAGCAAGGTGCACTGGTCTCTTCAGTTTTAGGTGGCAACTAACATTGGAGAAAGGAGACTCATAATTCTAAAACTTGAAGAAGGCAATCTCCTTTCTCCCCCAGTTACGCGTTAAATAGTAAGGTACACTGGACTCTGGTTTTAGGTGGCAACTAGCCTTCACGAAAAGAGACTGGGAATTCTAAAAAGGTGGAGAAGGCAATATGAAATCATTCCACTCTAATTCTAGAAAATGTATAACACCTTACAGATAATAAAGACGAGGATACCTTGGAGAGTCATGAACGTATGCGAGATGGAATTAAGTATAAAAATAATCTCGATCTTGTCAGTGGACCAAGGAAAGTAGTGTAATATGAAGCTGACAGTAGTTCCAGTTGTTATCTGAGCACTGGCAATTGTCCTTAAAATAATGAGAAAGACTGGAGGAATTCTAAATTAAGATAAGTTTTGGAAATACCCACATGATAACATTGACCAAACCGCTAAGATATTTACAAGTGGGGGTGGGTCGAGTATTGGGGGTATTTGTTGTCCCTGAAGCTGCAATGTAAATCGGCAGTTACTAATGATATGAATTATACCTAACCCTAAAAGTTTTGTCAATGTGCTCGATCTCAAACTTTCTTTTTATGTGACATGTAGGACGTAGGCGATCATGGCTCTCCACCTCCCTCTATCCCTTGCTGCTCTCAACAAGTTCCTTTCCTCTGCTTCCTCCTCCAGACCACGTTCTATCATCCACTTGCTTAAGCCTGCTAGGTATGTCATGAGTTGTTTTTCCTTGTATCTCTTTCCCTCTATTCGACCCGTGAGTATCAGATTCTCCAGGCCCTCCTTCCTCATTATGTGTCCCAGAAACTTCAGCTGTCTCTTCCTGTTGTTAAGTATAAGCCTCCTCCTTGTTTGCATCCTCTCTAAGATCTCATCGTTGCTCACATGCTCGGTCCATAATATCCTTAGCATCCTTCTGTAGAACCACATCTCCGTCGCCTCGAGTCTCTTCTTCATCTTTGAGGAAATCGTCCAACATTCGCTGCCGTAAAGAAGGACAGAAGTAACAGCTCAGTATTCTTTTCAATATCTCAATTTAGTTCTCAAATTCGATGTCCTTATGCCAGACAAAGTATAATTATGTGCACATATTACTGTTGGACTCTTGTTGAAGTGCACTGGTTAGCAGCTTATTCTTGTAAACTATATGCTCGAGTGTTGAGTTCGATCCTCGCCAAGAGACATACTTAGAATGAACTTTTGCCGGATTACGTTAATTTTGGCAAATAATCAGATTAAATTAAAAAAAAAAAGAAGCTATTATTTGTTGTGTATGTTTGTGCGTATACCCGCAATTATTTTTAAAATATTTTTTTAAAATAATTTTTTTAATACTTTTATTTTTAATAATTTTTTTCCCTTTCTGCTTCATTATAGTCGGAACTGCTATTGGCCGAACAGTTAACAAAATGGAATCGACAAACCAAGCTCTAACCATGGCTGGGATCAGTTTTCTGTTTGCACTAATCCTCTTGAGGAAGGCATGAATTCATTTCCCCGTCCCCAGATATATATATAACACTTGCAGGGCAGTCCATTTGCGCGTCGTTGCAGCACTTCGACACGATGAAAAATTAGCCGTTGCTAAAAATAAGGAAAAGTTTTTCTGAATCCTTTGAGAAGTGGGAACAAAAAACCTTAACCCGAACGACACGGGAAGACAATTAGTTTTCTAGTTGATTTATACGCTGCAAAATATATTTTTAAATCTAAAAAACAAACATTCCAATACTGCTACGACTAATATATTGATAATTTAATATGTGAATGCGTATATACGCGCGCGCGCACACACACACACACACACACACACACATATATATATATATATATATACTGTGTATATTTAGGCAGCAATTTTTCATTGATACATGTTTCATTAAATAGTATAAACAAGTTGTGTCTATTTATTTTAAGTAAGTTCCTTTCATATTGTCTTATAAGCTTAATAACATTATCATTAAAAGACGACAGCAAATCACCATATTGATACATGTTTTAATCCTATCTAAGCTTTAGGCTTACATAAGCCATTATCAAAGATGATAATTACATTTCAATATATCAAACAATACACGGACGAAACAATAATGATAGTCTGTTTTTGGTGCATGAAAAATTTCAAAGCAACACACACACACACACACACACACACACACACGTACACACACATATATATATATGTGTGTGTGTGTGTGTGTGTGTATACACCGAGTATAACAACAAAATTGTCCAAATCGTGTAACAGCATGCAATAATTGTCCATCCCACGAAATGTTTGATATCTAAAAATAACTAAACTAATTGAGTTTCTTTTTTCAGGTTGTCATATAATATGTTTAGCCATCTTGACTTCATTTGTCGTAAGAATCACTGAAAAACCTTTTATTTAGCTAGAAAGAGAACACGTAAAAATCGTTTTCTCTCAGCCCCACTAAGTCTTTCCAACTGAGCATTAGTGAGAGGAAAAAGATCATTCAGGCCTTCAGTAATGGTACCGACATTCATACTCTTGCTTCCATCTACAAAGTACATTCAAGAACCATAAAGAGAACGGTGAATACATTTAAAAAAGAGGGAAAAGTAGAGGAAAACTAGATCAGGAGGTCACAACAGCAAGAAGGATCATTAGTTCAACTTAGAGCTAAATACATTCTTATTTTTCAAAGAAGAGATCAATAGAATTATAATGACCTTGGAGATTTCCAGTAAAATATATTTAATCGTTTCTAAGATACAACGGATCTAAAGCTTAATCTAACAATTAGACAATTTAGCTGTTACATCCGGTATATAATCATTTCACGACAAGTAAGAAAATAATGCCACTGTGTGTTACTGAGGTGTTACTGAATGCAACTGAATCTGAGAGAAAAAAAAAAACAAAATTATGTTGACAGACGATGACAATTCATTTTGAATTTCAATTTTTGAAGATCAAATTTGACTGACAGCTGGAAGCAGTAAGAGTATTTCATAAGCGAGAAGTGCAAGAGAAAAAACTGTTACCATAGAACATGCAGTTATATCCAGCAATTTTAAGCTTAGTTACCTATTATTCTAAGACATTTTTATGTTTATACATTCTTTTTATAGATACAAATATTTAAGTAAATGCTCTGCTTATAATAAACAGTAATAAACAACATTTACCGGCCTGAATGTCGGAGAAATTTTCACAGAAAATATTCGTCCTCCGACAGGATTCAAACCTGTATCCTATACGGAACTGTCAAAGGTAAAGGCACGTCAGGCATTTACTTAAATATTTGTATCTATAAAAAGAATGTTAAACATAAAAATGTCTTAAAATAATTAATTACCTATTTTTAACTGAGTGTTACATTTATTTATTTTGAAACCTTGCCGTCAAACTATTAATGCACTTAAATTCGTAAAGACGATGTACCAAAGAGGAAAACTTAAGAGAATAACTTTCATAAGAATATTTATAGAAATGCCACAAGAAAACCACGTTATATCTGTGGGAATATGTGAAGACAAGATGCCAGGAAAGAATCAATAACATTGCAGAATCTTTGGATTTTAACAAGAATCAGAATAATGCAAAAACAACACAAGAGATTTTGCAGCAATAAAGCCAAACAGGTATGTTTTCATGCTGTAAAGAAAGAATTTTATGCATACACACAAAATACACACTTCATATATATATATATATATATATATATATATATATATATATATATATATATATATATATATATATATATATATATATATATATATATATATATATATGTGTGTGTGTGTGTGTGCAAAAACTGACCGCATATGTCGGAAGTACACACTGCTGTTTCAGTCAACAAGTATACTTTTCATAGATAAATATGAGTAGATGTAATCTGAGATAGATATAAACATAGATAGATAGATAGATAGATAGATAGATAGATAGATGAATGACTTGTTTGAAAAGATAGATTTAGATAGATAGATAGATAGATAGATACATACATACATACATACATACATACATACATACATATGAAAAAAACTTGTTCAGATATGAAGAGACTGAGATAGATAGTTGCATAGAAAGATAGATATAAACAAACTGATTTAGATAAATAAACACAAAAGCTTGTTTACATAGATAGATAGATAGATAGATAGATAGATAGATAGATAGATAGATAGATAGATATGAACAAACTGAGATAGATAGATATGAAAAGATTTGTTTAGATACATACAGATGAAAAGACTTGTTTAGATAAATAGATATGAACAGACTGAGATAGATAGATAGATAGATAGATAGATAGATAGATAGATAGATAGATAGATAGATAGATAGATAGATAGATATGAAAAGACTTGTTTAGATAGATACATACATACAAACATACATACATATGAAAAAAAACTTGTTTAGATAAATAGATACGAACAGACTGAGATAGATAGATAGATAGATAGATAGATAGATAGATAGATAGATAGATAGATAGATAGATATAAAAGACTTGTTTAGATACATAGATAGATACATACATACATATGAAAAAAACTTGTTTAGATAGATATGAACAGACTGAGATAGATAGTTGGATAGAAAGATAGATATAAACAAACTGATTCAGATAAATAGATACAAAAAGCTTGTTTAGATAGATAGATAGATAGATAGATAGATAGATAGATAGATAGATAGATAGATATGAACAGACTGAGAAAGACAAATAGATATATAGATACGTACATAACATAGATCGATAGGTAGATATAAACAGACTTAGATAGATAGATAGATAGATAGATAGATAGATAGATAGATAGATAGATAGATAGATTGTTTATACATATATAGAACAGACT